GATTGCATTGTTTAAATGGTATTTTACATACAGTTTCTAAACTATTGCTTTTTCAAATGCATTTTGTACACCTGCATTTTGCATCTGAATATAAAATTAAGGTTCAGATATTTAAAGACATTTATCCCTTAGGGTCATTCAAAGGAACTGATTGTCTTGCCACTCTAAGCCCATGTACAAAAATTTTCCCTATTCATACTATGAAAAAGGCCAAACCAGTTTACTAAGTCTTGCAGAGCTGGGCTATTTATTTTTCAAACACATTTTTCAAATGATGAAAATGTTTTTGTATGGTATTACCTTGACTTTCCAACATATTTCTGAGAGAGTGCAAAATGGACCTATTATAGCATGTTTAATGACTTGCCTAATGTCATGGATATGCTTAATTTTGACTAGAATCTTAGTGTACTTTAAAAAAACAAAAACAAACTCATACAGAATTCTTTCACAAGCTAATCATATGCTCCTTGAGAAAAAAAAAAAAAGGACAATGTACACTCAATGAATTTGCCAGTATGCAATTAGAATTTACCAACAAAAGTGCAGTTGTTTTTATCATAATTTGACACTGTATCTTTGTATTTCTAAAGTAAGATTTCAATGTTTTTTAATCACAAAGGGTGGGAGTGAGGATTAAGGCAGTGAATGAGAAAATCAGAAAGCTCATTGTACATTCAAGAATACTGTATTTCTGACCTCGCCAATTTGGCTCAGTGGATAGAGAGTCAGCCTGCTGACTGAAGGGTCCAGGTTTGATTCTGGTCAAGGGCACATGCCCGGGTTTGCAGGCTCGATCCCCAGGAGAAGGCGTGCAGGAGGCAGCAGTTCAATGATTCTCTCTCATGATGTTTCAATCTCTCCCCTTTCTTCCTCTCTGAAATAACAAAAAAATATATATATTTAAAACAAACAAAAAAAAACCCAGCTTTTATTTAAAAAAAAAAAGTATTTCCTAGACAAGTTTCTATGAGCAACATGTTCTAGTAAGCTCTAAAGTAAAATTTGCATTTATGTAAACGTAGGATAGAGGAAAAAGTGATATTCATAAGTAAATCCAGGTTTAAAAAGGAGAAACTTTTCCTCCCCTAATGTTTTCTGAAAAGTATACTGCTATTTACAGACTAACCTGGGAATTTTTATTCAAGCAGCTTGCATTAACTAGCCACCATCAGTGTAATAAGAGTCGCTTTTACCTGAGGTGTGTGTTACAAAGCTGGCTCACATCTCTCTCTCTCCCAATTTTTTTTTGGGAGGCAACCAAAATTTTTGGTGGCCTTGTCTCGGCAAGGCTTACTTTCAAGTGTCTGAATAAAAGAAATGAAAACTCCAGGAGTAACGTTTTAATGTCTTTAATCATAGGGAGGAGAGATGCTAATTTAAAGTGTTTTCTTAACACCCCCACTAGAGTGGAGAAGACCTCGTTAGGGGAGGTAGGGGCTGGAACAAGGGGGGTAGACTGGGGTGGGTTGCGGGGGTGGTATCTGTAATACTATCAGCAATTTAAAAAAACAAAACTTTTTTTTTTAAGTATTATTTCCTAGACAAGGTTTTTATGGGCAGCTTGTTCCAGTAAAATTTGCATATTATGTAAATAATGCTGACGGGAAAATGATAATCCAAGAATAAAAAGGGCGAACTTAAAATTTTCTTCCATTTATTTCCTGAAAATTGGACTGTTATTTACAGAGAAACCTGAAAGTTTTTATTCAAGCACTGAATTTTGGTATCAAGTAACCACCATCACACTGTAATAGGAGTTGCTTTTACCCGAGGGGTGAATTACAAATATTGCTCTATGTTTCTCTCTCTCCCAATTTTTTTTTTGGGAGGCAACCAAAATTTTTGGTGGCCTTGTTTCGGCAAGGCTTACTTTTAAGTGTCCAAAAAAAGACCAGTGAGAACATTGGAGTAATGTCGCTTTAACGTTTTTAGTTACAGGAACCAGAATGTTTAGTTTTCTAACACCAACCCTAGAGTGCAGAATATTTCGTTAGGGTAGGGGCTGGAAGAAGCGGGGTAGAACTGGGAGGTAGCTGTAATACTATCAGCAATTTAAAAAAAAAGACAAACTTTTTTTAAAAGAATTATTTTCTAGACAACGTTTCTATGGGCGGCTTGTTCTAGTAAAATTTGCATATTATGTAAATAATGCTGACGGGAAAATGATAATCCAAGATTAAAAAGGACAAAATTAAAGTTTTCTTCCATTAATTTCCTGAAAATTGGACTGGTACTTACAGAGTAACCTGGAAGCTTTTATTCAAGCACTGAATTTTGGTATCAAGTAACCACTATTACAGTGTAATAGGAGTTGCTTTTACCCGAGTGGTGAATTACAAAGACTCGTTATGTTTCTCTCTCTCCCAATTTTTTTTTTGGGAGGCAACCAAATTTTTGGTGGCCTTGCTTCGGCAAGGCTTATTTCCTACTGTCTAAAGGAAAGAATTGAAAATCCTTGGAATAATGTTGTTACGGTGTTAATGTTTTTAGTCGAAAAACACGGAAGTGTTCGTTTAGTTTTTTGACACCGGCACTTGGCACCTAAGTTGCGTAAAACCTCGTTAGGGGAAAAAGCGGGGTAGAACAGAGGGGTATCTGTAATACTATCAGCAATTAAAAAAAATAAAACCAAAGAATTTGTATGCATGCATATAAATATAAGCGATGGATGTGGACAGCAGCGAGTGAGGGTGGGGGTGGGGTGAGGGCAGGATTGGGGAGACGAGAGGACATTGGGAGGATAAGGACACATTTGTAATATCTTAATAAATAAAGGGAAAATAAATTTAAAAAAGAATTATTTCCTAGACAAGGTTTTTGTGGGCAGCTTATTCTAGTAAAATCCAAGGTAAGATTTGCATATTATGTAAATGAGGCTGACGGGAAAACGACAATCCGAGGTTAAAAAGGACAAATTTAAAGGTTTTCTTCCATTTTTTTCCTGAAAATTGGACTGCTATTTAGAGATAAACCTGGAAGGTTTTATTCCAGCGCTGAATTTTGGTATCAAGTAATCACCATCACAGTGTAATAGGAGTTGCTTTTACCCGAGTGTTGAATTACGAAGTGGCTCTGTATCTCTCTCTCTTCCTCCCAATTTTTTTTGGGAGGCAGCTGAAAATTTTTGGTTGGCCTTGTTTCGGCAGGGCTTTCGTATTTTGTTTAAAAAAAAGAATTGGGAAGCTTGGTTTTAGATTAAGAAGCTCAAGTAAGGGAAAATCAGCAGTAACTAAAAACTGCATGTTTCGCGGGCTGTGCAGTCAGAGGGCTGGCTAGCGGAGTGGGGGAAGGGGGGAAGGGAGGGAGGAAATGGCAGACATCTGTAATACTATCGACAGTAAGAAATATTTTTTGAAAAGAAAAAAATTTTTGAAAAAGCCTTCTAGACACCATTTTATGAGCAATGTGCTCTAGTAAAACCCAAAGTAGAATTTGCATAGCATGTGAACGCAAAGGCTGATGGGAAAATGATATTCAAGAGGAAGTCCAAGATTAAAAGACAAACTTAAGTTTTCTTCCACTTACATTTGCTGAAAATTAGCTATTTACAGAGTAACCTGGGAAATTTTATTCAAACACTGGACCTTGGCAATGTCAATGAAAAGGGGGTTGCTTTTACCCGAGGTGGGCGGCACGCAGTTCTTCAGCATCTCTCTCTCTTCCTCCCAGTTTTTTTTGGGAGGCAGCTGAAATTTTTGGTGGCCTTGCTTAGGTGAGGCTTGTGAATGTTGTTTCAAAACAAAAGAATGAAGGCGCTCTAGTGCCTAACAGGAAGTGGGAACTTAAAACTCTCACCGCGTGTTCCAGGACACTCCCTAAGGAATGACGGAACAAGGTTGCACACTTACAAAGCGAACGGACACCTGGGAAAGGGGTGAGGGGCGCTGTGAAAGGGAGTAAGAGGAGTGCAGAGGGGAAAGGTGAGCAGGAGCAGGAGCTCGGAGGAGGGGGTTCGGGCGGGAGGATTGGGAGAGATCTATAACACTATCAACAATAAAAAGTATCTAGCTGGTTTGACTCAGTGGACAGAGCTTGGCCTGGGCCCTGGGGTGTCTGGGAGGCAGCGGATCGATGATTCTCTCTCATCATTGATGTTTCAATCCCTCTCTCCCTCCCTCTCCCTTCCTCTCTGAAATCAATAAAAACACTTTATTTAAAAAAAAAAATACTGCCCTGACTGGTTTGGCTCAGTGGATAGAGCGTCGGCCTGCGGACTGAAAGGTCCCAGGTTCGATTCCGGTCAAGGGCATGTACCTGGGTTGCGTGCACATCCCCAGTAGGAGGTGTGCCAGAGGCAGCTGATCGATGTTTCTCTCTCATCGATGTTTCTAACTCTCTATGCCTCTCCCTTCCTCTCTGTAAAAAATCAATAAAATATATTTAAATATATATATACATACTTCCTAGACAAGATTTCATGGTCAACTTCTAGTAAAACCAATGTAAAATTTGCATAGTATGTACATGAATGGTGAGGAAATCCCAGTTTAAAAAGGACAAACTTAAATGTCCTCCCACTTATATTTCTGAAGATTAGACAGCTATTTACAGAGTAACCGTAAATTTTTATCCAAGCACAACCGTGGCATGACATAGCCACCGTCAGCGTGAGAGGGGTTGCTTTTATCCGAGGAGAGTGTTACACAGCCAGCGGGCCTCTCTCTCTCCCAGTTTTTTTATTGGGTGTGATCAACATTTTTGGTGGCCTTGTTTCGGGAAGGCTTCTTTTGCTCAGAAAAAGGACTAAAAGGGTCTCAGTGCTAAGTTGTGAGGACCAGACCGGAAGTCGAAGTTACTGGTGTTAGTACAATAGTGAGTGATAACGAGGTTGAGGCTAACTTAGAACAGCTCTATCTTTTTAAAACGTGAAGACTGGGACAGAAAATAGCTTAACCACAAAAACACCCGGGCAAGGCTGTTGATGTAAATGCAAACGCTAGACGAGGAAATGACATTCAAGTGTGTACCGTGGAGGGGCACGGTTAAAAAACATCGTTGGCCTCCTGGTGCTGCCCACAGGCTGCGTCCTCACACCGACCGCACAGAACTAGGAGCAGAGTAAACCCTCCCACACACCGCAGCGCAGGCCCTCGGCCTGGTCTGTATTGTGAATGGGGAGACATTGGGGGAGAAAAAACACACATATTGTTGGTAAGTAACCACCAAATTCTTGTACTGAAACAGCTGGGTTACTCTGCACCTCGTTTCTCCCTTGACTTACCCACTGGCGTCAAGTAAACACCGGGGCACCCACCGCGCAGCTTAAAACCAAGTGTCAGGACTTAAAGCCCCCGGTGCCCTTTCCCAGTTACACACGCGGAACTTCCCTCCGAAGGGAGGGAACGCCGTCCTGAATCTTGTATTAGTAACTTTCCTAGTTGTTTTTATTTTTCACTTTCAGTTTAACAGCAAAGGAACAAGTCAAACTCAGACGTATAAACACACAAAACATAAAAACGCAAGCCTGATCCAGACGGCGGTTGGATCCCAGGCAGCCGAGTCCCCGCTCCGGCCCCTCCCGTTGAGGCGCGGCACCGTGTGAAGACGAAGACACTTCCGGGATCGAAAGCAAGGGGACTCGCCTTATTTACATACCCACAGTGCACCGCACCAAATCCAAGTTTCTAACGAAGAAACTTAACATTTTTTCCCGCTTATATCGTCTGAAAATTAGACTGCCATAACAGAGGAACCGGGCAACGTTTATCCGAGCGCTTATCTTGTCACAGATTAGACTCCGTCAGTGTAATGGGAGTTGCATTTGCTCGAGATGTGTGTTACAAACACTACTGATCTTCTCTCTGTCTCTCGCTCCCAATTTTTTGGGGGAGGCAACCAGATATTTGGTGGCCTTGTTTCGACAGGGCTGCTGTGTGTGTGGCATCTAAAAAAAAGATTAAGTTTAGCCAGTTTTCACTTTATAGCTTTCTGTTGCTTTAAAAGCCCCTGCTTCCAGTCAGTGTTGCTGTTGCAGAGAATCCCATGCTTGAGGGTGTTTTTTTTTCATCATCTCGCTCTTAGATTATAATAAGAGGGGGTTTTACACTCTTAGCCAATTAGGTTCGGCAAAAGAAAAGGAATTGGACAGATAAGAGAAACTGGTGAAACAAAATTTGGCTCACCTACAGCAGTCTTTGAGAACAGAACTTTGAACCAATTCAACAACAACCAAAAAAAGATGGTTAAGTAAAGTCTGTGAAACCTTGAAAGAACCGCACCTCAATGCATGTTGCTCAGAAAGGATTTTCCTTCCTACCCTGTTTAAAATTTCTTCCTGCCTTTCCTCCACGGTGTGTTCTTCATGCCTCTGCTGTGGCATAGCTCTGCCCTGCTCTGCCCTGTGTCTCCTGCCATTTCAGCTGGCGCCTGGCAGCATTTGCTCAGTGGCAGGGAGGTGTGAGGAGGTGGGGGTACGAAGACGGGAAGAGCACCTGGGTTTCTTTCCTCCCTCTGTACCTTTGGCTGCATCTCTAGCAGTAGCTGTGTAAGTTATGTGGCTGTCATTTGTCTTTGTTGGGTCCTCTACACCAAGAATGCCATAGACTGGAGGGCCTCAGCAGTCAGTAGTTGTTGCTCACAGGTCTGAAGCACGGGCCCATCGAGGCACGGGCAGATGGGGGTCTGGTGAGAGCCTGCTTTCTGGTTCACTTCTTTCTCTTCTCTATTTTGAATGTTTGCTTGGCTTCTCAACTTTGTTCTAATATTCTAATTTCTTTTTTATTTTGCATCATAGTTGGAGATAGTTTCCTTTCACAATGAATTCGGTTTGTCTTTGGAAAGCCGTCCAAAATAATCGTAGATGTCAGAATAAAATATAATTAGTTTTGCATTCATTTGGCACGTTTGGTTATGATGGTAGAGGTAAATGGGAATAAACATCTTACCTCAGTTGAACCTTTCAGTGTCTGTATTGTTTTGTTGGTTCCTTTTTCATTCAGCTAGTCCTTCAATTTATTTTTTAGTTCTCATGTAATAAAATGTGTGTATTCACTTTTTTCTCATATTGAAATTTATATTTAAAATAAAATAATCAGCAACCATAGGGATAATGTAGCTGGCATTTTTAATTTTATTTATTTTAAATTACCAGACTCATCATATAACTGCAATATTTTCACTCAAAAATATTTAAAATCATAAAATTATTTTAAAAACCAATTTACGGTTAATCTTTCAATAAAGACACTTCAAATTTTTCATTTTTGCCGAAACCGGTTTGGCTCAGTGGATAGAGCGTTGGCCTGAGGACTCAAGGGTCCCGGGTTCGATTCCGGTCAAGGGCATGTACCTGGGTTGCGAGCACATCCCCAGTGGGAGATGTGCAGGAGACAGCTGATCGATGTTTCTCTCTCATCGATGTTTCTAACTCTCTATCTCTCTCCCTTCCTCTCTGTAAAAGATCAATAAAATATATTTAAAAAAATTTTTTTTCACTTTTTCTGTTGTCTATTTCTAATAAACTAAAAATGTGCAGATTACATTCAGGTGTTCTAATGTTTTATAGAAGAATAGCATCCATGTGGCTATTTATTTTGAGCCACTGATCACACTAAGGCAATTTACAGATGATATATTCTAATTTTCTGCAACTAGTTTAATAAATAACAACAATACTGGAGTTAATAGTGCTATATATATACTCACTGGATACCTAAACTGCTTATAAACACATACCAGAAAGTAACTAATTAATGCCATTTGTTGATAATGATTTTAATTGCATGTAATAATATACCAAAGTGAATTGCAATATTCATTGTTAACCTTCATTTAATATTGTGTATGTTTACTCTGAAACTTGCCTTAAAGTGGGTTTCTTCTACAATGAAGGCATTCCACTCTCACACCTTAAATACATGATGCTAGCCGGAACTGGTTTGGCTCAGTGGATAGAGCGTCGGCCTGCAGACTGAAAGGTCCTTGGTTCGATTCCGGTCAAGGGCATGTACCTTGGTTGCAGGCACATCCCCAGTGTTTCTAACTCTCTATCCCTCTCCCTTCCTCCCAGTAAAAAAATCAATGAAATATATTTTTTTTAAAAAAAGATATGCTAAACCTGTGTCCTGTTGTATACACATATTATTTTGTTTTGTTTGAAAAGCATTGTAGGTCACTGTTTGAGGAGCCAGTTGACGTTGGAAGCATCCCTCAACAAAGGTTCCACACATCCAGCGCCGGCAGTCCTGGCTTAGCCTCTCCTCTCCTCCAGCCCATTCCCGCTGATGAGCACCACCTGTGGTCCTGATCCGCAGCAGCAGGCGATGGCTTCCCTTGGATGCTTCCCATTTTAGTAATTATTCCCAAGATAGGCTATTAGATATGCTGTGAACATCTCAGCTGTAAACTTGAAAAAATTAATTCTAATATTTCCTTTGAAATTCATTTGTACCAGGGTGACAGCATACATTAATGTAATTCTCTTTAAAAAAGAAAAGAAAAGAAGGCATAGGCTTATTTTTGGAAAAGTAGTAAAAGTATTTTAGCTGAAACCGGTTTGGCTCAGTGGATAGAGCGTCGGCCTGCGGACTGAAAGGTCCCAGGTTCGATTCCGGTCAAGGGCATGTACCTGGGTTGCGGGCACATCCCCAGTAGGGAGATGTGCAGGAGGCAGCTGGTCGATGTTTCTCTCTCATTGATGTTTCTAACTCTCTATCCCTCTCCCTTCCTCTCTGTAAAAATCAATAAAAAATACATTGGGAAAAAAAAAAAGAATAGAGCCACAGTTGTTTAATGGTTATTCACCTGACTAACTATACATAAGAGGTTTTCTTACAGACCCTGGGAAACTGGCCGTTCCTGCAAAAAGAAAAACAGAGCTGTAAAAAGATAAAGAGACACCTTGGGGCCCAGGTGGGTCCATTGCTCAGTAAAGAAAATACATTATGAGAACAAAGGACAGATAGCTTTGATTTGATTGCTGTGCTGGACCCTGACCCTCTCTGGGAGTTTGCCTCAGGAATGCTGACCATTCTCAGGTGCCAGGAACTGGCAGAGCTGGGGGTTCTTTTGTTTGTTTGTTAGTTTTTAAAATATATTTTTATTGATTTCAGAGAGGAAGGGAGAGGGAGAAAGAGATAGAAACATTGATGATGAGAGAGAATCATCAATCAGCTGCCTCCAGAATGTCCCCTACTGGGGATCGAGTCTACTACCAGGGCATATGCCCTGACCGGAAATGGAACCAGTGACCTCCTGGTTCCTGGGTCCACACTCAACCGCTGAGCTACACTGGGCTGGGCCTGGAGGAGCTGTTTTTAACACCATTGAAGTTTACCTACCTTGTTATAGGACTTCAAGATCTTGGAAGGAGACACGCGGACCACAGACCCTGCAGCCATTCTCCCTTGCATACAGCCTCTCTTCCTTATTCCTATACACTCAGCCGCCTAGTGGGAGGTGGGGGGGCAGATTTTCGTGGATGGCCTGCTGCTCTCCCATATGCTGGCATTATTAGAATAAACGCTCATATATGACAACCCTGTCTCTGCTTAATTGGCTCAAGTAGTGACAGGCAGCCCGGACCCATCAGTTGTCTGATTTCAGTTCAAAGTGTATCATCTTTAATGTTACAAAGTTTGCAAACAGACAGTATTTACATGCAATTATATATTGCATTTTAAAAAATGAATTTATAATTTTATGAAAGAATATTCAAAGCAACCACTTTAAATTCTTGTGAATTTAGCATGTATTTAAATTCGGTTAACACACACCCTAAACTTCTCAACCACTGATGAGAGGACTGAATAAAGACTCAAAATATTTGAACAATACTGGAAGTTCATACGCTAATTCTATAAATTAATTTGTGCAAGTGATCCAAATAAGATCTTTTAAAGCATTGCTTTGTTTAGTCTTACAATGAAATAAATATAGACATTAACGATGTTGTAAAAAGTTATGATACACATGTCAAAAGCAAAATTGTTGCTTAAGTAATAAATTCAGCAGAATTTTTTTTTCTTCTAAGTGCCTATAATAGGTCTGAATGAAGTAGTCATCCCTTCTAGCTTCAGAGAAAAAAGTGTACATAATGGTATACCTTTTAGAAAAGCCAGTGCAAATATTAGTGCAGCAAATTACAATGTAAGGAAATCAGTCTAAATTCTCTAACTTTGGAGAAAA